GAATTCTGTGTGGTTAGGGAAGGTTAGGGTTAAACATACATGTACAAAAAGAAAACAGAAAAGAAAAAAAATATAAAACCAAAAAATGGACACAAAAGTCGTGAACACTTTCAACTTTATTTTTGTGGATGCCTCCCCAAAGAGGCAAACATTTGAATCTCCCTTATGAATCGAAACCTACATGTCCCAGACATGCCAGACTGTGTGAATTTTTATATGTGTGACATTGTGAAAATAAATTTCATTACAATTTGTTCTAGGTGGGGGCCTTTCTGGTCGTAAATGGACTGGACTAAAGGCCTACAAGTAGGTACATGTGTGGTATATGTTTACCTGTAGGCTGGCTGTGGGAGGTACATGTACATGTACAATGGTACAATAAACAGGTTGTAGTCACAGATTTTCTTATGGACCCAATTACAGTACTGTAAATCATGTACATGTACATCATGTAAACTGTACCTCTACATTGCAGGCTTTGTACCCGTACTAATGAAATTTATCTGTCAAATATGCATTCAGACTTGAAATACATCAACAAAGTTGTCAGATCAAGATTGTCATACAGTACATGTAGTACATGATTCAAAATAAAGATGGTGTGGTTTACTCTCCCTTTAGGCTGGTGGTGGCCCAAGCCCCATATCGGTATCAGTGGTATTGATCGTCTTGGTCAAGACGTTGTTGTGTTGTCGATACATGTATGCCAGAGGGCACTCACAAGACGAACAGCTGGAATGCACGAACCACAACTAGCCACACCAGCAGCAACGTCTTGGGAAGTTGGTCAAATCTTGCCCCAAAAATGGGGGGAAGGGAGAACTCACCATGGATGCATTACTTACGCTTCCCATTTTCTGTTCATGCATGCCCATATACATGTATAGATTTGACCAACTTCCCAAGACGCTGTTGCTGGCGTGGCTAGTTGTGGTTTGTGCGTTCCAGCTGTTCGTCTTGTGAGTGCCCTCTCATATATTAAAACACAACGTCTTGACCAAGACTAACAGGACCAAGTCCTCCTTTGAGATTTGTTATTCAACCGCTACAATTTCTATCATTTCGCAAAGATAAGAAAAAGATTGTTGAAGCTGCTTTTAAAAACATTCAGCACAAGTTTAAGAAACTCGGGTTAAATAATTACTTGGCCTTATGTGCAATTCACTTTACAAAACGGCAATGTATACGCACATACTGTACATGTATTTTAGACATCGCCGGCTAAATTTAACTACTGGTAGGGCTGAACTTTAATATTTTTCCATATCCTCACTTACATGTACATGTGGAATTCTTTCTTGAGCATACATGTACATGCATATATATACATGTATATACACGTATGCACACACAGACTGAAACTAAAAGAGGGTACTGTCTACATATACATGTACATGTAGCCTAGCAGGCAAAATGTACACTCTACATCATACATGTGTACATGATGGTTAAGCTAAATCTTTAGCCAGCGAAACAGTCACTGCCTCACTCAAAACAACATCTGATGAAATGGCATGCTCCTTGGTCAAGGCATGAAGGAAGGAAGTCAAGGTAAACAAAGTCAAGGTAAACTGGTCCAGATGAGGCATTTGCCAGTCACTTGGCTTGGAGTTGGACACAAAGCTTCTGATAAATGGGGTGACCCCGTCCCGTATTTCACAGACTTCTGGAATCGCCAGCTGGCAACTAATGTCCCCCTGGACACATCACACCAGCTTGCGAGGGGCGTGTGCATGGGAATATCTACATGTACTCTGTCAAATACCGGTACATGTACTGTAGTCAATAATACTGGCCTTGAATGTTTCAAGGGATTAGCAGTTGACCACGTTTGAGGGCAATGCATTCCAGTCCTTGAATTACACTTACATGTAGTTGATGGAAAGAAACTGTTTTGGAACACTGCTCCATGGTATTGCTTGTTGTGTTTTCTATAGGGTCTACTAGATTGCTGAATGGTGGTTGTAACTGGAAGATTGACTAGGTTGTTGACTATTTTGTAGAGTATACTAAGTCTTCTGGCTTTTTGTCTGATTTCTAGAGGTTCCCAACTGAGGTCTTGAGGTAGTAGTGACTGTTGCTGGTTATCTACTGTCTGACTGTACTAGTTATTTTTACAGAATCGAGCTGCTTGTCTCTGTATTCTTTCCAAGTCCATGATGTTTCTTGCATAATTTATTTCTTATGAGAAGTTTATTTCTTATGAAAAATTAGGGACGTGGCCACTATACTGTCACCATGGTCACAGACGTTCGTATTCCAAAACCATCAGGACCATGGAGGTACATGTACATTGTACCACTTGGAAATACCAGAGCATGTCACGACTGCGAGGTGTCTGGACCACTGGGGTAAACAGGGTCAAGCTATTTAGCGTCAACAAGCGTCAACGAGCGTCAACAAAGCATCAACAAGTTTTTCAAGCATATTTATGCAAAGATTTTTTGTATAAAATGTTAATTAGGATTCTACATATCAAATTCAATGTATTATACTATATCTGTCTGAAATGATTGAGTGCTGAAATATGAGTGACAAAGTTGGGCCTGTTTGTGCAGTCCGACCATGGAGTATTCCTCCATGGTTCGACTGGCCGCCATCTTGTTTTCGCATAGACGGCAGAGGAGCGAAAGATGGCGGCCCCCATACATCGCAAAAGATTTTCGTTTTCCTGCGAGAATCTGGAAGCAAAATTATTTGGTGTTTCTGTTATGAAGTGGCAAGAGTTACAGTCTCTTAAATATAATAAAACCACTTTAAATCTGTAGAGGGTATTTTCAAGTTGTTGGTTCGCTTTGTTGATGCTTCTTGTGTGTGTTTATAACACGTATGACACTTGTTGAGGTTAAATAGTATGACTGGGTACACATGCATGGTACATGTACGGTACCAGAAAATGCAGCCTGAGTATGATCATGACGTTAGCATGGTTAAGGCCGGTTCACACTTGCTGCGTAGTGCGTATTCACGGTGTACGCAGCGCGAAGGTCTAGTTTGAGGTGTCTGCAGTGCGTGAAGAAAAGCGCAGTGCGTAATGAAAATACATGCCCTTGTAGTTTTGTACGCAGTTTGTGAAAATAATGGATAGTGTGTAGGCCTATGCACCAAATGTATGCATATTCAGACAAATTAAACAATTTTTAACTTTTCTCGGATAAGCACACGCAGCCGAGACTTGAGCAAACATAAAAGTATAAACGTCCAATGCAGCGTTCACATTACGCCCTGCGTGCGTGCAAACCCAGCGAGCATGAACCAGCCCTTACTATTTACAGTAGGCCTATATTCCTACCACTGATACGCCTACTAGACTAACTAGTCCTAAAGTGCAGGCCAAAGTACAAAAGTTACGAGTACCGCCCCTCAGTCACATTTGACTGCTCATAAAATGTTGCTATACAGTTCTATTCAGTACGTTAAAATAAAGAAGAAGAAAAGAACGACAAATTTACAAGTTTGTCACGGAGTTTCCGTACGTCTGCACTCACCAAATCTACAGAAGAAACGTGACCTGACGACAGCAAACATTTCACGCGAGCTGCGAACGGTACCGTGTATGCATGTAGTGCTAATGCAGTACGGATGTTTTCGAGCGCCCTCTGTTGGTGTTAAGTGTCACATTACGATAGTGGCGAAACAAGTAAGTTGACATAAAAAGTGCTCGGTGGCCATAATTGGTTATCACGATCCCTATTAGATAATCATTAGTCCGTAGGCTGGAAAAGTGAGAGGGGCTTCAGTCCCGATTTTAATCATTGGCTTGCCCCAAAGAAAACACACACCGAAAGAAAAAAAAATGGAGATGCGTTTACTTACTCAGGAGGCCACTTTAAGAAAACTCATTCAAATGGCATGCACTTGTGTATATAGCACAAGTGGTGAGGTCCATTAGTTGTGGGTATAACACAAGACTTTTGTACATTATATGGAGTTGACTTTAGGAGTTTTCAGAACAACTCTTTGCGGTCATTTTGACACCAGTTATGGGAAATCGAACGTACCGTTAGTGCAGCACACGGTGCAGTGTCTGAGACGGTTCAGCCAAAATGTACGCTAGTTCTTGCATTACGGTGCTCAGCACACGCCAAGGATGGCATGCATGTAGTATTGACCGTAACAACAAAAGCATTGTGTGCAATGACTTCAAACTTCACATTTGTAATAACAGGAAATGTCATTATAAGCATACCAAGTTTAAAAAAAAAATCGAGTGATGGAGGCAAAGCACGGTGGGGGGGGGGGGGCTTAATCCCCCGGCTGTACGTGAGATGGGCCAAAATCATAACTGGCTCTTATTTTGTGTTGAATGTTCTGTCTGTATCGGAATGGGGGAAAAGAGCCAATCATCATACGCCGGAGTTTCCAAATCTGGTACACTTCAGCTCTTCGAACTTTTCGTCATCCAAAATCTGTATAACTGAAAGTGAAATCAACAGTAACCGTTTTGAATATTGGCCAACTATGTTTAAAATAACAAACAGATGCTGATGTTTAACTAAGTAGGCCTATCGTAAAATTAACTTGAAAGTCTCAAGAATGATGCCAAAGGAGGTGGAAATCTAGCTGCCGCATTTGTGTGTTTGTTTTTCCATGAAGGAAGAACAGAAACTGGTATGACTCAAGTCTTATCAGAGTGGCTGTCACTCGAGTCGAGTCTTGTACTCGCAGTGACTGATGGAGTCCAAAAAGTCCCCCTAAATGTGACTCGAGTCAATGACAATGCTGCCTCCCCAGGGGCGGATGGGGGGGCGTGGGGGGCGCGAAGGCCCCCTTTTTCACCCAATAAGTTAATGAATAGAAGAAAAAGGGGAGGGAGAAGAAAAAGAGGGGGTCATGATGCCTGAAATTGAACCACAGAGCTCCTAGAATCCAAAATGTCCCAGGGCACTTAAGCACTCGCAGGCATTTTACCGTTGCTGCTGTAGTTCAGGCCTCTCTCTTTTGGAAAACCCTAGTTCACACCCCCCCCCTTTGGAAAAATCCTGGATCCACCCTTGTTCCCACCCCAGAGGACTGCATTCACGAACGTTATTTTGATCGGCTATACCCAGTGACCAAATCTTATTGAAATTGAAACAAAAAATCTGCAGACATGTTGAATGCATCTGTTGCAAAGTTTGGATTTACACTGGCAGTTCGACATAATGCATGGTGTTATTTTGCGACCATGTTCGCGCTTTAGGGGTGTCGGCCAAGCTTGCGTATTTCAATGGAGTGAACTTTTGGACTTTGACTCTTAAAACGGACATTCCAGTATCTACTATACGCTATTGGATTTTTATAACACTAACCAACACATATGTGGAAAAAAGCTGGAAAACTGAGTCGCTGTAGGCCCATAGTGTACCCGAGGCCTAACGTGACGCCACCTCTAAGTACGTGGCGCGCTTTCATTTTTAGCACCTTGTGTCTTACCGGAGCAATATTTTTACCTAAAATTTCACAATCGGCAAAAGTTCAAACGCCTATTATTCTGATCCATAAATTTCAATTTTGTGTGTCTGCTAAAAAGTTCTGATGAAATTATAGTTTTACCCGATTTTCCGAATTTTTTCTGACGCACAAAATGAACGCCTTTAGAATGAGCTCAAAAATGTGAAAATAATTTTCTGACACGCTTGTTGATGGGTAGGTGAGCAGAAGGAATGATGCTTTAAAAGGATTTATCAACTTTAAAGAATTTTGAAAATGTTTATGTGGGATTTTCTGAGTGCGCCATGTTACAGGGAACACTCCCCTGAATTCGAGCCCTATTTCCTGACGCTGACATTTTTGGATTTCGGAAAAAATTGCTCACCAAGTGTCAACACCGTACCATGTATCATGAGGATTATACTGCCAGTATTTAACCAGATATGAGTTTTGAGTTTTTCAATGAAAAAGTTTTATGCTGTGAGAGGAAAGTTAAGTTAAGTGAAAGTCGAAGTGCGTGTACGTTAGGGGGGTCCACCAAAATTGGACTAAACAAGATAAAAAGCATAATATGCTTTTGGACAATATCGGCAAAGAAAGTGTATGGGATTCAGTGTTGCGTGCATATCTGCCCGCCAGCTCACTTGGAAAAGATATTAATTGTAATTAGCAGAAATTTAACAGCAAGACTTTACAGCTATTAATTTTATATAATCACTTTTCCAGGTGACGTGAAATAATACAACTTGCTGAAAGCTTAAATTAGCAAGGATCATAGACGAAATCGAATTAACTGAATCCAATGGATCTTTCTAGACCTTCCAAGAAGAAAAAATTATGGGGGGGGGAGTCTTCATTATTAAAAAAAAATCTGTTGCTGCCCTCCAAATAAATAAGAATTTAGGCAGGTCGCATTCCACGATGTACGTTACTTAGATTGATAAATTTAAGCTCAGTTTCAAGTTTATTTTGCCATGTGAGTTCTTTTCATAGGTCCAGGTGTAAAAATGTGTTACAGAAGTGAATGAAAATCTCCTAGTGAGTCCTATTAGTCTTTTTCAAAGTTTGCCGAGAGGGAGCGCGTAATCAAGATTATTACAACAGTGAGATCTGGAAGAAATGGAAAAGGTATAAATCCAGTAATTGACGTGCAGGTATAAGAAACTTTGTGGAAGCTCTTTTTACCCCTTTCTTTTTCATTTTCCCGTGGGAAGGGGTTCACTGGTGGTCGCAAAGCCCTTCCAAAGCCGAACCGCCGGAAACTAGCCAGAGCCAACTACCGTACAGTAAAATAATTCATCCAGTGTGTACATGGCTTTTATGTACCACTTGGTGGCGCTTTTCTTTATTTCGATTACTCAGTGTATGTAGCTTTAATACGTACATGTACATCTAGTTCTTAGACTGTACATGTTCATGACTAGTTCTGCTCTTTGCGTTTCATCGGTTCTCGTATGGACATTACTTTGGTAGGCCCTATTTAAAATACTTTTGAAATTATTTTCTTTGAATGGTTTGCTTTCTTTGCTTATCCTTTTTCCATTTACTAGGCCTAGTAAAGTAGCACAGTGTTAAGTTTTGGCAATGCATGCTTGGGTGTAGGACTAGCATCTCGGACAAACATGACAAAATACATGTTACGTTTATGTAGTTCTTACATGTACATGTAGTTGGAACACCTTGTGGCAAGCGCAGTGAAAAGATCCCCCTCTCCCCCATTCAATGTTGCGGTCATTTATTGGGCCAAGATTCGGCCCAGCTTACCCAATGAGAGACAACATTGACAGGGGGTGAGGAGGGAGGCATGTTCCAACGAGATTTGTCCAGGATTGTAGGCTACTTCCTGAACAGTCACTAGACATGCTAGATAAGGCACTACTGTCACACTGTAGGCTTGGCAGTAGGCCTTACTGATTCCTGACGTTTGATAAGCCTTATTGCAAATACTGCATGGGTGATTTGCACAGTTGTGGGAAGGAAAAAGGAGCAAACATTGAACCTTTTGCCTTCCCACAATGCCTTCCTTCCATTATCACCTGATTATACAAAATTACTCATGCAGTATCCGTACGCAATGGCATATTTAACGGTGCCCTGCAATTGTACCAGAGAAAACCTCCATTTGCACTTTCTTGATCAAATCTTCCCCTAAAAAATTTATAATAATAGGGAACCTATATGAAACTACCGGGCACATGTGTATTTTGTAGAGTGTAACCTACATTATCGGCAAAGAATGAGCTTTTTCCTACCATACTGACCTATAAATCCCTCGATGATCTGTGCACATCTGCATAAGTCACAGATTTCCCTGCCATCTCTATACATAATCTTAAGGAGCGTAGTCAAAATTATTGGATCTGGTATCCAAAGCAACAAAAACACTTGTTACGCCGTGCCTGTTTTTGTCACAGAATGCAGTGGAACAATTTTTAAAAAGTAACCTCTGAATAATTAAAAATTTTTACTTTCCGACACAGAAAATCTGTAACTTTGCCTCAGTTGACAACAGTGGAATTAAAAGACTGCATTCTGATCAGTTGTGAATTTTGAGATATGCATGTACATGTATATTATCATAAAAGACTGAATTTTTCAACATCATCGTTTATGAGGCAAACAGGTGCAACATTATTTTCCTAAGCATATAATGAAAATCGTGCGACAAGAAAATCACAAATTTGCACTGATGTACTGGAATTGACCTTGGAGTATGTACAGTCGAATGTGAATGTTAAATGTCACACATACCTGCTCCACAAATTTGGGTCATTCTTCCCCCCTTGCCTTCTGATAGTTTTGCATGTCTAATTTCTTATTAATTAATCTTGGCATAATTGACCTCTTTGATTTTGTTATAGTTTCGTGGCATGTGATTATGGTGATGTTCCAACTGGTTGTCTTGCACTGCTGTACCTGACCTGTGATGTGCAATGTCAAATAGCAGCCACAGTTCCGATTCGCAGAGGTCCGGGGTGGCAACCACTCACGTCAGCTTTGTATGTCAGCGATGCAGCCAGCCACTGAAGCTGGATCCATCGTTCAGCTCTCTGGACAGCCAGACGTACATTGACTTAACAGGTCAGAATTTGTCCATTTAGCAAACGAGGGAAGAGATAATGAAGTTGTACCTGTACCGTACTACAGTTTATAAATTTTGTTTTGTATGTTATCCAAAAGTGTAGGCACCAAAAGCATATGGATAGAAATTCATAAAAAAATTTAAAAAATTACATTGAAGTTACATTTAAAGCACAACAACATACATGTATATATTAAATTTAAACCAATTATCAACAGGTATCCAATATTGTGCATCTTTATGGGCTCTCATTGTCCAAAAGAACATCAAATACAAACTTTTCGCTTTATCCCACTCTGCCTACATGTACATGTAGAGATTTCAACAGTCATCCCATGGTTTGGATGATTTTCGAAAACTGTAGAGCCATTGATGCAGGTTTTATATGCAGAGAGCATTACGTCACTTTTCTGTGCAGAGGTAATGACCATTGGGATATTTCCCTTGTCGTATCTGCTACACAGCACCATTACTGACAGCAGGGTCAGGCAAGGCAACCCCACTTCTGCAGAGTACTGATAGCACAGAGCCCTTTGAGCTGGAGAAAAATGATGGAGTGTCAAGGAAACGAATACAGCCTGTCAGGTAAAGACGGCCATGTGGTCAACCCTTATGTGTACGTGTACGTGTACATCCTTCCACAGTTCTCTGGGCTTTTATGCAGAGGATACGCATGCAGGCTTCAGGTCTCCATGGTTATGTCAATACTGATGAAGATTTTTGTTTACCTGCTCTTTGCTGGAACAAGAAATGGCATGCTTTAATATGAACTTAGAATGGATTCTTTTAGTTAGAATAACACCACTTACATGCATAGGTCCATGTAGGTTTGGTGCAGGATGCTGGGGTTTGTATGACTAATTTCTGTTGGATTAGACAGCCTCTGCCTGTACACTTGTTGCCTAGATAAAAACGATTCCCACAAACCAGTCTTTTCTCTGCCTGCGAGGGGCTGCTTCAAATCCGGGTGGATTCTTACAGCACAAACCATTGCAAGTTTTGTAGAAGTCCTTGCATGTGAGAGTCTATTGGTATGAGAGATCACTTGAAGATTGAAGCGACTGAATTCAGCTTGTTTGCTTTTGAAATCCAGGTACCCCTCCCAGGATAGCGGGCAGGAGTTTACATTGCTTGGTGAAGCAGCAAGCAGTCGGATGGAGAATGTCAGCCACAGAATTAAGGTACTCTTTGGTGTATAAAGCCGGTGTAGTTTTTAATAAGCCTGCGGACAACATCGAGTATGCAGTGTTTATAAGCGTTGCTCTGTGAAAGGCTAAACAGCCAATATGAAATTAACCTCCTCCTGGTGCAAAAATTACAACATGTATATGTTTGGTAAAGTGCCTGCTGCTCATCTGACTCAAACCAGCCAACCAACCCCAGCAAGCTCGTTGGTCAAGTGGTACGAAGTCTACACTAGTAAGCAGGAAGTCATAGGTTCAAGTTCCACCCAAAGTAAAGTCCGGTTCATACTAGGTGTGAAAATGAACACAAATATGAATCTGTGACATCAGATCAAATATTTGTGCTGCAAATTTTTCAAAAGTTAAACACATTTCAACGTGAGTGAAATTTTGCTGCAAATCTTTTGTGAAGTCAAATTCGCTTCACTTCCGCATTCCTCTGTAGTATAAACTGGCCTTTTGTATGTGAATTTTTTCACAAGCCTTTGAGCAGCACTGAGTGTACAATGTTTACTAGCATGTATGGGTAAAGAGCAAATCAGCTAACATAACGTTACAGTCTCCTAGTACAAAAAACACACCTCATAATCTGCCTTTTTTAGGTTGCCAGCCAACTGTTTGACATCATGTCAGGCCACTCGGATATTGACCACCCACTGTGTGAGGTAAATGTTAATCCAGATGTAGGTTATTTAAAGGGTGCATTGTCGGGTCATTTAAATGTTCTTTAAAAAATAGAAAAAAGTAGGAAAAGTCTAGTAATGGGCGGGGGTGTGTTCTACATTTATTGAAAGAGGAAAGATGGTACGGTACTGGGCCAAACTGAATGCATACTGACAGATCCCTCATGATGGCTCTTGGCAAGAATTTCTAGGTATTCAACATGCTGACCCTTGCCTATTGACCCTTGGCTGCCACCTACCAGAAATCAAGGGACTGAATTGCCTTGAACTTACACATTACCAAAGAGTCGTGGAAGAGATGGTCCACAACGCCTATTATTTAAGGGGTCACCCCAATGGAAGCCCAGTGTGCAAAGTTTGACATGGCGCAGTGCATGGCTCTAAATCATTGTACCCTGTCCAGGCTTTTGGAACCAAATTTTGCAACTTTTCTAAAGATTTTGGTTGTATGTTTGTTGAATTGTATCAGTCATACTTGCTGGAAGTCTACCATCTTCAAAGCATGATAACTGGTAGAAGGACTGGTAGTTAAGGACGCTGACCCTTGAGACCTATTTGAGGATAAACATGGAAGGAGGGGGCTCACTGCATTGTGATTCACTCCTACCTTTGCCTTACATTTATACCAATGCCCTGTGAACATCTGCCAGACTTTAATATCTCTTGCAATCCACGAGTCTCTCCGATGAATTTTTACAGAATAGAGTGCATTCAATTGTCGCATTAAAGAACCTCTAAAAAAGGGCAGTCCATTTGGAAGTCATTTGAAAGACAGAAACAAACTCTTTGTGTCTGGCTTTCAGGAGTGCACAGATTCCCTCCTGGATCAGCTAGACCAACAGCTGAAGATCACTGAGGATGAGTGCAAACACTACCGCGAGTCCCTGGAGAAACTGACAGACGGAGAGGACAATGAGGATGAAGCAACATTAGAAGCTGAGATTGAAATGGTCAGTGAGATCACATACCTACCTCAATGTTTGATCCTCAAGGACGGGATCATGAAAAAGGAACCTCTTCACATTGTGAAATTTTGAAATTGTTGATACTTTGAAAAGGGAAAAGGCTCCTGGCTGTTTTCTGATCATTTTATGTGATTTATTTGTCTCAACTGATTTTTGTGAATTCTACACGTACATGCTTCTTAAGTGGCTAAAAGAGAAAGTATACTTGAAACTTTGCTAAATGGATGTACAAAAAAAAATTGCAAAGGAGTAAATGCTTCATTGACAACAATGTCAAGAATTACAAATACATTTTGTGATCGGAATTACAACAAAGCCAAACTTACATATGTGTACACTTTGGAACCAAATTTTCAATTTGAGCACAGTTTTTGAAAAATTAAATTGCCCCTATCTTAAATGAAATGGGAACACATAGTACGGTTTCCTGGTAAACTAAATTACATTTAATCAAGAGTGCCAAATAAGTGTGGAGTGAAATTGATCACCTGTTCTGTTAGATTACGGAAGTCAGCACATCAAGAGGTGTTTGAAATGTTCATTTTTTATCTGGTTTACCAGATAGCTGGACTATCCCTAATTGTGAAGATTTCTATGTTCATTTGATTTTTGAAGTTGAAAGCCAACGAGACAGAGCTCATCAAGCAACTGGAAGAGACGGAGTCGGAACGACACAAAATTGCTCAGGAGATGCAACAGCAGAAGAAAGAGTTGGAGCAACTTGAAGCCGAGGAAGAAAGGTCAGAGGTCAAACTGAGGTTGAAATAAGGACCAAGCCTTTGTTGTCTGACAAGCATGGTTGATGTTTAACTACTTTTCGAGACATCAAACTTACTTGTCCAAGTTAATTTTAAAAATCCGCAGGTACTGGAAGGAATACAACCAATATAAGCAGCAGCTTGTTTCCATGAAGGATGAACAACGAAGCATCGACAACCAGCTGAGATACACTCAAACCCAGCTAGACCAACTCAGCAAGACAAATGTCTTCAACGCAACATTCCACATATGGTGAGTATTGGTTCAAGCGTTGTTACTGGTACATTGACCCCAGGGACGAAAATCAGATGAACTATATTTGGACACCAGCTTGGGATCCATTAAATAAATATTAAGGTTTCAATATTTCTTAATTCAACTTGGTATTAACAACCTTCTGTACCACTTAAACAAGGTATTTTGCAGTTGTTATAGTGTGAATTTTCTACCAGGTAAAAATAACAGTACACCAGGTTTTCCATTAAATAACTTCCTTTCTGATATGTAAAGCCTACATGTATGAAGCGGAAAGGAACAAAAAAATGTGCCCACCAAAAGAAGTGACTCGTTTTAGTATCCAGTTCATAAATTATGACGCACACCAGCGTCTGTAGACAAACCTAGTGATGTTTTACTGTTGCTACTTTTAAAGACAGAAAGCATTGCATTGGGTTTTGTATAGAGTGACTGTCACCAAATAGAGGCTCTTTACAATAGTTAGTACACTGCTTCTTACCGCTATTGGTGAAGCTCTGGAGATGACTAGGGACAGAGTTTAATAGCATGGTCAACAGTTTCATCCGTTCATGACCTCTCTAATCTAGGCACAACGGTCATTTTGGAACTATCAACAACTTCCGTCTGGGCCGCCTGCCCAGTGTTCCAGTCGACTGGAGCGAGATCAATGCCGCCTGGGGCCAAACGGTCCTGCTGCTTCACTCCCTGGCCCAGAAGATGAACTTCAAATTTAAGAGGTAAGTCTGACCTGGCCATGCCTCGCACCTGTCTCTCTTTATGTCATATATGTTGATGTACAACAAAAAGGCTGATGAAAATCAGTGTTGCACTGGAGACTGTTTGTGACAAGAAACAAGACCAATTACTAGCTAATGTATCCCATGTAAGATGTTGTGGATGTTGAACAATGGAAAATATTAGGTTCACAATAACTGGTAGCAAGTCCACAAAAGGAAAAGCATTTCCAAATCCTACGAGAGCCCTGCATAGTTTATTATGGTAGGACAATGAAGCATGCATAATTACAGGTGCTAACACACTTGTATGTCAAAATGAGGCTTGATGAGTCTCATGTAACAGTGCATCTGCATAGCATTATGATGAATAAGATGACAACCATGAAATGAATAATTTATGTTGCCCTTTTGAGTTAAATGCTTTGTTGTACGGTACTTTGTATTTTTAATTTCTCCTGTTAGCTTCCCTTACATACTTTGATGTAGTTCATCTGAAAGTGATGAAAACCCTCAGTGAGTAGTAATTAACAATTTATTCAGTGTAAATTGATAGTCTCCACTGAAGTGATTTCTATGTAAGAAGCTGGTGTCTTTCTCTGCCCCACTGATGGTCAGATACCGACTGGTTCCCTGCGGCAACCATTCCTACTTGGAATCTCTACAGGACAAGTCTAAACAGCTTCCTCTCCACGGATCGGGCGGATTCAGGTTTTTCTGGGACACAAAGTGAGCCATGCTGTTCCTTCCTTTGAAATCTCAGCCAATAGCTTGAATGGATGTTATGGACATTTGAGATTCCACAAGTACAGAAGAAATCTTTGTTGATTTGAACTAAAGTTTGAGGTGGTGTAAAGGAAGATTGTCTGAAAATAATGTTACTGAGAGGATAAAATTACAAGGGAGGCCACCCAAAAATCTCATGGAATTAGCAATTTGGGATGGCCAAGCAAGGCAAGGGAGTCGGAACGTCATAGTAAGTTCTGGCGAGAGGACTGCTTATTCTGCACTGTTCCCAACTTGGAACAGCCCATGATCTGTAATAGGAGCAGTGGCCGAAGTCTTGGCACATTAATCAGGATGCACCTGTTTTCAATGGGAGCACAGTGAACTCCCGAAGGGTACTCATGGTGTTCCTTGAAGGAGGGTTCCAGTGGGTACAGTGACTTTTGAGATGTTCAAACTGTGGTTGGAAACTACCCGTTTGATACGGGTCAAAAGTAGACCAGTGTGAGTGATTGACCAGGGCAGTTTGAAGCCAGACTTGGATTGTTGTGTCTGCTGGTTTGGCTTCAGGCCCAAGTTTGACGATTTCCAGGTTCACAGTTTGGCTGATGCCAGTTCATTGTGGTCCGTTGAGTGCTGTAGACATACTAGCAAAAATCCTGTTACATAATTCATACAGATTGGCATATGCACTGAAAACAGGCTCCCAACAAAATGGGAACCACAGTAGAGGCGTAGTACTTGTGCCGCTGAGAGTTCCACTCTGATTGTCAAACAACCTTCCCTCAGGTTTGACCAAGCCATGGTCGCCTTCTTGGACTGTCTCCAGCAACTAGAAGAGGAGGTAGAAAGGGGAGACACCAGCTTCTGCCTTCCGTACAAGATGTCCGGTGGCAAAATAGAGGACAAGAGTAACGGTGCTACGTACTCGATCAAGTGAGTCATTCCTTTTTCTCTGGGCCTGTCTAAAACATAGCGGTGGCTTTTTTTATAGATACAAGTGAAGTGTAAGGATAGGACTCTACCTTCGATTTGGTACTGTTCAGCAAAACTTTCTTCAAGCAGTTAGTCAACTTTAGAGTCACACATTGTAATTGCAGTGAGACAGTCTTTGCCATGCAGCATACTGAAATCATCATTAAATACAGTCAATAGAATAATGTTGCTCAGGGTTTAATAGCAAAACAGTTGAAAAAGCAGATTGTTGAAAGATGTATGAACTAAACTTTGCAAAATGTGATCAAACGACTCTTGTTTCAAAGCGCATTACAACTAGAGGATGGATGGAGAAAGTTTACGGTTTGTTTTTTGTAAAATTTGGATTGTTTTCATTAAATTGTTTCAAAACCTTTTTCAAAGGACTTCAAATTTCTGTTTAAACAAGTGAATAATCATATGGACAACAAAGTGCCCTAAGAGTTTGAGTGTATAGACCGCGGACATCACTGTGTTGGTTTCATAATTTTGGTCATTGGATTGGTCTGGTCACTTCTAATACGGGTGATTCACAATAGTGTGCCTCCAAGAGTTTGCAACGCGTTGGCCAATCACAACGCGCGAAATTTGTCGACCATTTCCAAACGTGCATTGGGTCGACAAATTTCGCGTATTGTGATTGGCCAACACGTTGCAAACTCTTGGAGGCGCACTATTGTGAAACGTCCGTATTTATTCTTGCATTCTCATGTTTCTGTGCAGGATCCAGTTTAATTCAGAGGAGCAATGGACTAAAGCACTCAAGTTCATGCTCACCAACCTGAAGTGGGCGCTAGCCTGGGTTTCCTCTCAGTTCACTAAGTGAACCACACATTGCCAGCTCTGGATGGGCTCCGAAGGCTGTTATCTTGATGTAATGTGCATATATTTAGGCCAGATGCAGCGTTGAAGAACAAGCTTCTATTTCTTTGCAGCCAAGTATGTTCCAGGAAGTGAAACTTAGAAGGTTGGAACAATTTGATAACCAGTTCTAAATATTGGAAGCTCAAACATGTACTGGAATGGAAAAGTACCTGCTCTTGAGCAAATCACTGGCTCCTTATTCACAATTATTCATGTGATTACCTGTAATGGCAAGAGGAGGAAGTGAAAATCTAAAACATTCTGCATCAACATGAGGAATAACAGACATTTGTAATACAGTAGATTTTATTTCATGAAATAGTAGGAAACGTATATATGGAGAATGGTAATTGGAATGTGTAGAAAATCCCCCCTGATGACATTTCTGAGCTCAGTATTGGTTGAATCCCCTAGGTTTTATTGACTTTATTTCTCTAAGAATCATTTGTAAAAAGTGTGGAGTCAGTGAAATCATTGATTGCATAGCAGTATCTATTCAGTAGAAAGCCATGAAACTGTTTGGTATAGAACCATTATACTGTGATATAAATTACAGAGGGAAAAAACCCCAAAGTGCACCGATTTTTACTGTGGCTATTGGAATTTACAGGTTATGCATGTTCTGACCCGAGTCTTTGCCCTTCACAGACATGTGATGAAGCTCTTTAACGTTGTTCAGGCTTTGCGAGAAATACCAAAACCAGAGGCGTACTTAATCAGGGTTCTAGCCCATAACCTCTCAATTTACCAGTGCAGAGCCCAAATAGTGCTTGGATATTTAGGCTACGCAAAAAGGAGCAGAAAACAAGTTTCTAGTAATACCCTCCATGTAACACCGTGGCAGGTAACCTGCATTTTCTCATTGAGCTCACACTTTAGTGTAATTGGCAGCTCTATGACAGTGCCCCCCCATAAAGACTTCCCATTTGACCTCTGAATTTGCCAGGGCAATTAGCTGGTTGGCAGTCTTTATTACAACAGTCACAGAAAAGGACATCAGTCTAGTTAGCACATTCACTTTATTGATAAGCAAAAATAAATGAAAGCACAAGCAAGCACCATAGTCGCATGCTCACAAAAGTTAAGCTTTTCAAATGCATTTCTTGATAATCAGGATGCATTTCCCCTTTAAAATGCATTCCTTACAGTCAACAAAGTCATCACATCTGTGGGTCAATGATTTACTACAACCATTTCAAAAGCTACAACATTCCATTGACAACAACTCTTATTGTGAGTTTTACACAGGAAACACAGCACGGGGGCAACCAATAACCCATGCAATGCTTGTCAGAAAACTGTTCCCATAAGAGGCATTTCAAGAGAACATATTTCAAATTTCAAGGGTACATAAAACCTGTAAGCATGTAACAAACAAGTTTGTGATTTCGATAAAATCCTTACGTGGTGAAGAGCACTGAAAGTTTCTATTGCAGATAAAAACTTACAGGATATAAATTTGTAAGCAGGAAGCTGAACCAACGACAAAGCAACTGCAATCAATATCCAAGTACACGTACACAATTATTCTTGTACTGTGCAAAAATAACTTCTCAACAACTCCAACTACATGGCTGAATATACATGTAGGTGGTATTGATCAAGTAGAAGCGCTGGGAGATGCACCAGCATCAAAGATTTTTCAGAACTTTTAAGAAAGATAATTGGCGGGATGACTGGCCAAAAGATTTGTTGGATCTTTTTAACCTCTGCCCTGCTGGACAAATATCTTCCAAAAGATGATGACTGCGGCTACTTTATCAAGGAGGCCAGCTGAAGTGCAAGGATGAACAGAATTGAACATCCAAACCATTTTGGTTGTTAAAAATCACCCATAAATCATCGTGCTTACACTGATTCACAAGGCCCATTCTTTCACTCTTAAAGACCGAGTCTTCCTATGGATGCTGTTGTGCACATACATGTACACAATTGCATGGCCAACATATTAGTGCCAATGTCACTGCCTTGACCAGCGTAGAAGTCAAGACCATAACAAGACCTCCAGTCTGAACTCAAATCACAAGCTATTCAAATGAACTGCAACAAAAGCATTCCTTAGCCAGTGTTGACCCAGTTGTTCATAACTGATGTTGTGATACTCTCAACTATACTGGCTCTATATTCCACATTCATGTATGTACATGGAAATTCTGTTTGCTGAACCATGGTTTGTCATTTTCAGTTAATTCATAATCCCTTTCAATTTTCCCTGTACTTTCATCATCAATAATGGAAGTATTCAGTCCATTACTCTTGAATTTATCCAGCTTGCCTTTATTCTCAAAGGCATAGCATGTCCAACAAAGCAGATATGCAATACATTTGCAAGGTATATGTAAATTTACAAATAAAAAAAAAACCGAAATACATAAATTACCACTGTGGCTGCTACAGATGACAAAATGACTTGATATACTTTCAAAATATTAATACTAATCACCCAAAATTATTTTATTAATGAGTTTCTCGGTAATAATTTGTGTACTTTACAATACTGTACACCTATAGGGTAGGCAATCACACAGTCTTAAAATTTTCATGGTTTCCCAGCAGCAAGTGAGTTTTTCAAACCCACAACTACACCAACCTACGGTAGTTAAAAACCTATTTGTAGTGTTTATAACATGCACAAGACCTGAATAACATTCACAACCACGTCAGTGTTTTTCAAGAAATTTAAACCTCTGATTTTAAAAATTGGATTACAGAAAATGTCTGTGTTTCTTCCAATAAACCATCCCAACAATGCAGAAATCCAAGTTCAGAAAATGAAGCAAAGCACACGAACAAATACTAGTACATGTACATGTAAGTCATGCTTGTTATTACATACACGTATCTACTAGTTTTGGATTTGTCCATGCATTTTTTCACCATAGCTATCCAGAATGACAAATATTACATGTAGTTCCCTTACAGCCCAGATTTACCATTTCAATTCTTTTCGGGGAAGCCCAAAGTATTGTTCTAAAACAGGCTTCATACTGATAGGAAACAAAGACCACTATTCCAATGTCTAACTGTTAAGGATGGGATTCAAGATTCCTCTTTACCAATTGATGACAATAATGCTTCGTCCATCAGATCATCATCAATTAAGCAAGGACTTTGCTGGGAGTGTTCGGACCCACTTCCGATACTGACCCCGACGGGGGACTTGGCAATGGAGGGCTTGGCAGAGGGGGAGATTGGCACAGTGCAAGGGGAGGTCACAGTGGCTTCCTGCTGAGGGAGGCTTCCCTTGTGCTCCTCTGGTATGGATGGCTCCCCTTTGGGTTGGCTGGACTGCGGGGCATTGGGGTCATCAATGATTAGCTCATCCTCGCTTCCGCTGTGGCTGTACGCCGGGCTCATTGTGTGCAGACGCTTGGCGACATGACTTGTTTCCTCTGGAGTGGCAGCCCGCTTGAGCCCTTGGGTGCTTGGCACTCCACCTGGACTTGGGATCATGCGACTCCCACCTCCCCGCGGACTGGGCACACCTGGCGAGTATGGACTGGTGGCTCGGGGTGGACTGCTGGGCTTATTACTGCCAAAAACTTTGGGACTCGGCAATCCCGATATGCATGATGGCTTCGGGCTTGGGGCCAGGGCTGGACTGGGTACTTTGAATTCAACTTCTGGGGCTGGTGGAGGCGGCCCTGGTGTGGGCGGTTTGACAGTTTCTGGGGCAGGGGCGGGGGCTTTTGGACTCAGCTGCTGACTGGGACTTGGCTGGCGCTTGGGACTGAGCTGCTGCTTGGGGCTAGGCTGGTGCTTGGGACTGGGTGGACGCTTTGGGCTGGGTTGGTGCTTTGGACTTGGGATGTGCTTTGGACTGGGCTGATGCTTGGGGCTGGGCTGATGTTTTGGACTTGGCTGATGTTTTGGACTTGGCAGGCGACTGGGGCTGGGTGACTGTTTTGGTTTCGGTTGCGCTTTAAGGGTTGGTTGATGCTTTGGGCTCGTCTGACGTTTTGGAACGGAATGAAGTTTCAGGCTTGATTGATCTTTCAATGGCTTCTTGGTCTCCATTTTGGCAGACGAGGATGAAACAGGTGCTGAAAATTTGGCATCCTGTGGTTTACTGTCAGACTTGGTTTCTCCTGCTGGCTTCTTGGGCCTGTCCGGTTGCAAGGAAAGCTGTGAGGAGGGTATTGTCTTTGATCCCCCTTCTGTTGGGGTACTCGCTGCTTGAGTTGTCTCCTTTATGCCACCATCTGATTTCACACTCGCTACCTTCACTGCTAACTTCAAGTCCGGTTTTTGTTTTTCAGACAGGCCCTTTGATTCCTGAGTTGATTTGGTTGATTCTGGTTTGAAGGTTTGTTGAGTAGTCGGCGCTGAGGTGGTGCTGATGCTTTTGGATGATTTGGGGACTATTTCAACTCGTTTTGTGTCACCCTGCACAGCTGGTTTGCTGCCTGTTACTGGCTTCACAGACGTACTCAAGGGTTTGCTGCTCTCCTCTGATTTTGGAATTGGCTTCAGTTGAGGGGTGACTGGTTTTTTGGGTTGTGCTGAACTTTGCAATTTCTGGAGGATGTCAGTCTCGAGAGTTGTTGGAGTGGTTGGTATGGGTGTTAGGTCGACCTTTCCATCTCTGATAGAAGACTGACTGGTGGCTGGAGGCTTGGTAGCCATTGGTGTCTTGGGCTCTGTTTGAGTCGTCTGTCCCTCGGCAGGTTTGTCAGTCTTAACATCCTGAGCTGAGCTACCCTTCTGAGCCTCAGCCTGTCGAGCATTGGCAGCTAATCTTGGTGACACAACAGTTACAATTGTGACTTTAGAGTTGCCCTTTTCAGGAGAAGAGTATGTGGATGAACGACTTAAGATGATGGGTTTTCGTGACATTGGTGAGAGAACTTGTCTTGGAGGGGTTTTGATAGGGCTTGAAGCTGATGTTGACATGGGCATAGATGATGAAGTACTTAATTTCAAAGGAGACACAGGTTTGGGTGTTGCAGCCTTTGCTGCCGAGAGGAGAGATCCTGATGTTTTGGGTGTGGTGTGGACAGATGGTGAAGGAGTCCTAGCAGGTTGGGCTGGTCCCTTGAGGGGGATAGGAGGGGTGGAAACTTTTGGAGGACGGGACACTTGTGATGTTTTATGAGAGGGGGCAGGTCTATTAGGAGAAGTTGATGATCTTTGAAGGCTTTGACTGGATGTCGGCATGGAGGGCATCTTAGTGGGAGAAGGAGACACCTTTGAAGGGGTGGAAGAACCAGCAGGTTTTGTGGAGGAAGAAGTTGAAGCTGGTGTGGTAACAGCGGTGGAAATTCCAAGCTTTGTAGAGGCTGGTCCCGATGGTTTCAACGCGGAGGGCAGTGGTTTTGATTTGGGTGTTTTGCTGATGCTAGGGGGAGATTCCCTGCCCTTTGTTTCAGAATGCTCAGATTTTACAGGCTTTGAGGCTGTGGCCTTAACACTCTCACAATCTAGAGGTTTCCCAGCACCCATCTTTTCTTTTGGTGCCTTGTCTCTCACTGGGGAATGGCCCGAATGGTCAGTGTCCTGGGCAGGTCGAGGTGGACTTGACAAACCAGACGCAATGCCTGCTCGCTCCTGAAGCTTTCCAACAATGGCTGACAGGGAGTTCTTCCTTCCTTTGGGTAAGACCTTTGGTGTCTTTGGCCCAGCACTTGTTGGTGTTGTTGGAGTTGGGGTCGTTGGTGTTTCTCCGGCAGAGACTGATGTGCTCTGGGGGGCATCACCAATGGCAGGTGATGATTTTGACACTGGTGGGATAGAAATAGGTGAGGGTCGTGAGGGTCTATTTGGAACAGAGGATGAAGTGCATGGACTGCCAGGAGCAGCTCCAGCGGTGCTTGTTGCCTTCAGTATCCCCTTAGGTGATCCCTGAATAAGTTTGGAGCTTTTCAGGATGGGTGACTTCTTTGTCTCCCCTTTTCGCCCTTCTGGTCGCTGTCCTGCATTCATGGATTTCTTTAGCATTCTAGCATGTGAATCTATCCCCTTTGCAATCTTTTTGACTGAGGATGGGATGGAGCTCCTTATGCCTTCTGGTGAAACCTTAGATTTAAAAACAGTCCCTGAGGTTTGAGACTCAGACTTCATTCCCATTTTCAATGGGGAAGAAGATACCTTGGGAGAGACGGCTATCTTTGGGGATGGAGCAGTTGGTTTGGTCAGATTTCCTGACATTTTGGGCGAAGAGATGCTCTTAGAGGTAAGACTTTGAGATGAGCTCTTGCTCAGGTCACTTTTTATCTTCGATTGCATTGTGATAGCAGTGGTTGAGGACTTGCTGAAAGCCTGCCTTTTAGCAGCTGCTGAATCCAACTTGTCAGTATCAGATTTGGGATGAACTTGAGCATCACTTTTTGGAGCTGGCGCAGAATCTTTCTTCTGGGTCTCCTCCACTTTGGTGACACTGGCAGATTCATTTTTCACAGACAACACCGAAGCCTCGGATTTTAGTTGAGGTTTCACTTCTGCAGCATGACTTGTAAGGGTCTCTGTAACTGGTTTCTGAGTGAGCTCAGTGCTTGTCACTGGGTTCAAGGGTTTCACTCGGATCTTGGGAGTACTTGAGGTCTTGGTTTTGGGTTTAGGCTCTGACTTGACACGGACCATCTTGAATGTCATCTTCAATGGTGCTTCAGAGCTCATGGTGACACTCAAGTCCTCACTGTCATCATCTCCTGGAGAGGAGTCGCTGTATATGTCCACCCGGCGACGCTTTATGGCCTTTTTCTTCTCCTTGGGCTTGGGAGGCGGTGAGTCCCCACCCAGCAAGCCTTCCATTCTCTTCCCTGTTCGCCGTGAACGTTTCTTTGGCCCTCGTTTGCTGGGGTTCTCCAGTGGTGGTGTACCAGCAGATTCAGATACAAAGTTCTTGGGTTTTCCTTTGGAGACCATGGGTGGCACACGGATGACCTTACGGGTAGGTGCTGTGGAATGAGTGTTACCAGTGGTTTGTGTCACTGGGGCTGTTTTGTATTGTTGGTCAGGCATGCTCAGTGATCTCTCTCTCAAGGCAGTGTGCATTGACATTGACTCCCCGCTACCTAGGCTCTTTGATAAACTTGGCATGCTTAAATCCAATGCCATGCTTGTGCCCACCACGTCAACTGACTCGGTCCGCAACAGTTTATTTCCAACACCTGGGCTGATGCTCTGGAAAGCCGACTGCCCAGAGGAAGGGGGCGTTGACCCAGCAGAGGCAGCTGAAGCACTGAGTGCCGCTGTAGACAGCTTAAACTCAGACTTCATTTTACCGTCAGGACCTGTCTCACTTGCTGATGGGGACTTGGTGGTCTGAACCCCCATGCGTGCGATTGCTAAGTTGACACTGGAGAGCCCAAATGCTGTTGCATCACATGCCTCCATATCAATATCTGCTGTGGACTCGATCAGATCATCGGCAAAACTGGAATCCCCACTCTTTAAAATGTCCGTGTTGAAATCCAGTGACTCACTGATGTTATACTGCTGATTGCTACCTTCAGGAGCATCCCCTTCCCCAGAAGGTATTGCCAGGAACTCCTCGGGGGAGAAAAGCTCTGTGCCGTGAGCACTGAACACATCTGTGTCAGCCGTGCTTCTTGCGGCCTGCTGAGAATCCTGTCGGGCCATCATTTTACCCATCTGCGGTGGGGGTGCATCTGTCACGGCTTGCATGACATGTTCTGGTGTGTGGAGGGTCTGCATTCCAGGCTTTGGACCACCTCCGTAGGGTGAAGTCATGGACAAGGAGGTAGGCGTCTTTGGGGACATTGATGGTCTTCCTCCAGCACTTGACTGGGAACTGGTGCTGTCTGACCGCTTTTGTTTACGACCCGATTTGCCCGACGTATCCACAATATCGGCCAGAAGAGCAGAGAGCTCTCCCATTTGAGATGTTGTTCTGGGGGGCTCCATGGTACCAGAAGGCTGGTATGGCTTGGTTGACTCTGCTGGCATTGGAAAATGGGAAAACACCTGGGAGTCACTGGGGATCTTTGGAGTGTGGAGAGAGGGTGAACGTTCCGGCACTCCATGACCTCCTTCAAAATCAAACGAGGACTCTCTGGAGCTGTCATCCTCACTGAAAGCTCTTCTTGGGGATTTCTCGGTTGAGAGAGCTGGTTTGATGCGACGGCGCTTTTTAGTTGGCTTCCCTGGAACGGGTGATGGCAGGCTTGGTTGTTGAAGAGGGGGCTGTGGGAGGGGTGGTTGTGGAAGAGATGCTGGTGGGGTGGGGGTGAGTGAGGAGAGAGGCGTGTTCATGATTTGGGCTGGTTGCTTGGTCTGCTCCTGCAAAAGAGTCATCAACATGGGATTCCTTTTGGACTTGACAGCTGCAGTCTGGGCAGCTGCTGCAGCATCTGTCGCCAGCATCTGACTCGAACTGTCCTTTGGGGAGCTCAGGGTGCTGCTTGTGGGGTTAGCGTGCTGCAGCAAGCTGGCCAGCATCGGGTTCTGCTCCACCTTGGAGTTGTCTGCAGGCAGAGAAGCCAGATCCAGGGTGGAGGCAGGCTGCACCAGGATGGACTCCATGGAGCTCCTCATGTCGCTCAGGATGCTGCGCTGCTGCTGGCTGGCCCCACCTTTCATGGAGGCTGCCAGGCTCTGCCCTTTCAGGGTGGACTTCAGCTGGTGAACCAGACTCCCAGGGACATGACCTGAGCTGCTGGGTGGCTCATTCAGGACAGTCGCCGCTGGAATGGGTTTCTGGACTTGGGTTTGGATCATAGATGCAGCCTTCTTCATGATGGCACGCATGGTTACAGGAATTGACAAGCACCTGGGGAAAAATAAACAGTGTGTCGAAACCAATTCAAATTTCAGTCCTGCTTCACTTTTACTGGATTCAAAACAAATGTCAAGAAATATTTGGCATTACTAAGAACGTTATGGGGTAACATAGAAGCGTTCAACAGGAATGAACTTCTTCCGTTGTAAGTTTTTTACCCACCTCTGCAGTACCCTAGTCGCATAATCATCACTGCAGATTGGTTCCTCACCGCTGGGCGTATGAAGCTTGCACTTGACATTAGCTGACTCAGTCAGATCCATCTCAACTGGACAATGGGGGATAACAAGCAGGTAGAGTATTAGAAGATGTTGAACCATGCCACATACCGATATAATGCATCAACATAGAACTGGAATTAACAGCAACTGACCGAACTATTTGTGACCCAAATATTTCTGTCTGTGTTCATCAGAAGGTACAAATTGACAATGTAAAGCAGAAGCAGGAAGCCCATGGAAGTTTGTTTCACAAAAGCAGGACCACCTGCACAAATTTCTGTCCCTCAGCAGACAGTCAGTAGGGTTGAATAAAGAAATCAAGACTGCAAAGCACATTTCATGATAACTTTAAAATACCACTGCAACAGGGAGTACATCAGGCAGAAAGAGGAACGACTCAAAACTACAATTCCACAAACTGTAGAAGTTCTCAACGGATGAGATATAAACTGACAACTCTTTCTTCCTAAGGCAGATTTAGAATCAGCCAAGTGTCATGATGGATAAGACCGAGTATACTGTGCAGTGTCCAGGACTAGCTCCTGTGTTTGGAGGGGAGGAACTCACCACATCCCATGCCATCAGTGGCTGGGTGCTCAAAGGTCACAGTCAGTTTCTGGTGGGTGAAAGGCGTTACCTCAAACAGCATTGCCGAGGAGGGATCTAAGAAATGCCACAAGATAAATTAGGTTGTACAAATGCATGTACATATGCCACATACTGTAAGCTCAAACTCATCTTCCAAGGAGGACCGCTTTTTACAAATCTCAGTGGAGTATATACACTTATTTTATTTTCTATCTTCAATTCTGAAAGGAAAATCGGGCAACAAGAATATCGATTTGTTGGCACATTGTAATTTTAGATACACGTCTGTTTGACTGGCTTGATAATCTCTGAGGATTTACTTTTTGGGACTTTATCTGAAAGAGATTGCGTGTTGAATTGAAATGAAATTGCTTATTAACCACATCCTGCTGGGGATTCCGGATCCGGACAAGTATGCTTTATTTGCGTGGCCGGGGTCTCCAAACTCGGACAAAGGGAACAGGGCCTTGTAACAAAAGACCGTACTTGGAACAAAAGACCGGGCCGCTGGGAATTACCGACATTTTTTCACTCTCAAAAGTGGAGATAATCCAGCCTTGTTTTGAAACAGTATACCACGGTTTGGAGTATTTAGAGCAAGCAGACTACCACCGGGGACAAAAGCGCTCAAACACCGCAGTGATGAGCCACACAGCACCACTGCACGCTAATCTGGCCCCTATTGAACAAAAGAAAGTTATATAACACCGCACAATCTGGGCTCTTTTTACAACACTGCAGGCCTGGCTGAAATACTCGGGCGTCAATAGATTTTGTCCGTCAGGCTAGAGTGGACACCAGACAGTCCTTCACGTGTTGGTGGTCCAGTGAATGAAGATTGAAGAAGATTAAATGAATTTTTAAAGAATTTTGAAAACAGAAAAAACTGATAAATATCCCGGCCCAGCATCATCAACATTGATAACCGCCCCGACACAAAGTGCATAGATTTGAAAAAAAAAGGCAATTGTAAAAACAATTTAAATCACAACATAAAAGCATTAACAAGGAGTAAATTAATATCTTTAACATTTGTTACATCAAGTCATCGATCATACTAAAAAAATATATTCAGGTAAATAACGTGTTATACAGTTGTATCCCATTGTGACCCATCACCTCAATTAGGCCGAAGGAGGTAATTTTGTGACACCATGACTGTGTACACACTCCTTTTGAAACTGGTTTGTGAAAATGGGGCTTTGCCATTGCCTTGACAGAGCTTGAGCTTTCCATACCAAAGACCACTGCAGTAACACAGAGCACACTGCAGGAAACGTTTGATATTTTACCTCCATCTTCCTCTGCTCGGACGCAGCTGGCGATGAGCGCATTGTAGACGGCCTGCTGCCGCAGAAGCGACAGCATCTTCACGACGTGCATCTGGTTGGTGAAGCTGAGCTTGGACACCAGCACGCCACGCATGTCGTTACCAGCGGTGCACTCGTTGATGAAGTAGCAGTGCTCCTGATCAGGCAATTTCTATCATTAACAAAAACATAATTGTACAATGCAGTACATCATCAAGTGAAATACAATTTTAAAAATCATTAGTACAGACATAGGTGTACTGGGCCAAACACAGGCTCAACAAGATGTGTGCTACGTCAAAATATAAAGTACTGTTGAATGTGACTTAGTTTCTAACAAAACAGTATCCACTGCTGCAGCGAGATCTCCGTCATGGGAAAACATCCTCTATGTTTTAGATACTCACCACGTAGTAGGTATTTCCCGTGTGCTTGGAGTCTCTACCCATGGTCTGTCCCAATGTGGGGTCCAAGATGTACCGTGCTATCAGGCTGTTGAGCGGTGCCGCTGAGGAGACGTCCACGTGCTGCATGCCAACCCCTGTCAGGACAAAGACAGAGGGTATTCAAGAGTGATGCATGCACGCACACCCTTATTGGCACTTGACTGATTACACCTGTCCTCAGTAGGATTTTATTAACAGTATAGCCAGGACTCCATGGAGGGGGTGGGGAGCTGGGTTGAGAGCTGGATGTTACAATTGAGGTGTCTAGTTTCTCTTGATTGTTAACTGCGGTTAGAGGACGCTCGAACATGCTTTATACTGGAACGGTTTGGAAGT